CTCCTCCTCCTCCTCCTCCTTCTCCTCCTCTTCCTCTTCCTCCTCTTCCTCCTCTTCCTCCTCCTTCTTCTTCTTTTCTCCTCCTCCTCTTCCTCCTCCTCCTCTTCTTCCTTCTTCTTTTTCTTCTCCTTCTTCTTTTTTCTCCCGTGGCAACCAATCAATCAGTGTCATAATCTGAACAGCCTCCAAATTTCTGAAACACTCCCTGGGTGACTTCTACATTCCTATCACCATAGGAGGCAAAGCTGTCTTTTCTAGTAACTTCGTTTTTAATCTCCAGAAATTCTAACAAAGAAGGAAAAAAAGATAAACATCTGGATTGCAAACACACCAAGTGAGATACAGGGATAGCCATACTGTCTGGTAGAAAACAGTATCTGCAGTGTGTTCTGTGGGTGTGACTGTTCTTCACTCAAATTCAAACCAGGCTGTTGTTTTAAAAGTTTAAGCCATCAGATTTGTTCCCGGGTTCCTACTATATCCCAGGATTGTGCTGACTTTTGCAGAGGGAGGGGGTCAGAGAAATTATTTAATATTGTGACAATGATTGATGATGCAGAAAAGACTAACCTGGTGAAGACAGACTAGAGATGGTAAAGGAGAGAGGAACTGCAAAGAGCAGGCCTGGCCTATGTAGGCTGTAGGAACCAGAGGCCAGGAAGGAGGGCCTGTTTGTCCATTTTCTGCTCCTAGCACAAAACACTTGAGCTCAGGTGCTGTATAAAGGGAAAAGGTTTGTTTTGCTCCCAGCTTTGGAAGCGGAACGTTCAGGATCAGACACCTGTATCTGTTCATCCCTGTTGCCCAGTCATGTCAAGGAAGATTGCTTCATGACAGGGTTGTATATGAGGAGGATCCCTCACAGGGTGAGAGCGGAGTGATTTGGAGCCCAGGTCCACAGTCTTTCCTAACAGCTCTATCAAGAACGAGCATACTGTCCTCCACCTTAGCCCGAGAGCTATCTTCTGCAGTGGTCAGCAATTAGTCAAAGAGCTGAGAGTAGGTGGTCATTGAGAGCTCACCCTAAATGAGACATCTGTACTGTAGTATAGATTTAGATGTAAGCCTGTACTCTTATCTCTACTGTATCACACACACATACCCGCCCCCTACTCCCATTGCCACCTAGGCTCAGGGAACATCATCTTGTTAAGGGGAGCAGAGAGAATCTAAGAAGGATGGAGAGGAGTATGTGAACTGCTGTGTCTTCTGTATGTGCTACAGCCATTGCGCTCATGAGCTCACAGCAGCAGTGGCTACTTGCTCCAAACCTATACAAGATCAAGCCAGCAGCATTGCTCAGCAATCTGTGTTACCTGGACTAGGTGGGTTTACAAATCACCAAAAATCATGAAGGTGGAAGGGGACTGGGGAAAGGATATGCTTGAGATGTACTGTATATGTGTATGAAATTACCAAAGAATACATAGGATTTTTTTTTAAAAAGAACTAGCTTAGTCCAGGAGGCCAACTTTAATCCCCTCCACTGAGCTGCACCCTCTGTGCTTTAATTACCTCCTCCTGAACCACTCATAAAGTCAGTCATAGACATCATGGATCTGCAAACCACGCCTCCAGTCCAGGACCCCTTGGGGAAAACAAACTATATCCAAACCACTGAAGAGGGCAACAGGAGAGACACAGAAGCATGTAACAGACCCATTCTGTTTGGGAGTGCTGGATCTTCCTCTGCCCTTACATGCTTATCCCCCAAAATGCATGAGGTGTCAGAAGAGTGGGGAGGGGCATCTAGGATGTAGACAGCCTAGCTCAGAGCAGTCAGAACAAAGCCCACTTCCTTGAAGTAAGTGGGGGTGGGGGTGGGAGCTCACTTCCTTTGGCTTGTTCCAGCTTGTCTGTTGAGAATGAATTTGGCACAGTGAGCAGGAGAATAATGACTGTCTTCATCCTTCTTTGGGGGAAGGACTTGTCGAACAAGGCTGATATGGACAGGCAATAATTAAATTGCCTTGGATAGTGTCTGATATAATTGAGACCAAGAACTTGTGAACATGTACCCTAAACAAAGCACCACCTCATGCTGAGGATTCCCTGGGCCCTTGAACCCTTTCTGTCTCAGAGTATAGAAATTAATACTTTAATTACAGTTAGAAGATGCTAAAAAGCTACAGGAGTAGAGGAGTCACAGGAAAGAAAAAAAATCCTTTTACTGTCTAGCAGTTCTGAAAGGCAAAGTCTATATAGATTTAATTCCTCCTCCCCCTCTTCAGTTTGTAAGACAATGGAATGGGAACATTCTATCCAGAATTGAACAGAAAAGGCAGGGGTTTCACCCTGCTGATTAAAGACAGGATCTTTACCTATCTCTGTGCTTTCCTAAGGCCTGGCTCTGGAGGTTGCAAAAAGATGTAAATACCTTCCTGGTTTGAAACTGGAATCGCCTTTTGAATTGTGAAGATCTGTGATATAAATAAAGCCCCTTGAGGACACAGTTGAATGGGCACCTCCTTCTTCTCCTTTGTGTTCCTGTGAACTTTGAACTTGTTTAGAATTTTTATCAAATGTTACTAATCTTATCCTAACCTCTCACTGCCACACCTGTGGGTCCAGGCCTCTTCCCTATAGACCTATGCTTTGTTCAGGAATACCTTGGATGTTTTCAGGTCTGTTCTGGTTGATGGTTTTGCTTGGGAATCTGGCTCTTGTGTCTCCACCTAGCCCCTGTCTTCTCTACCTCTCCATCCCTCCATCTGTCTTCTCTATGAAATGGAACAGTTAACTATAATGGCTTAGACATTTTTTGAACTCTTATAATAGTTGACACACAACCAGTGAGTTGTAAATGAACTTCAGAACTACAAAGTCCCATAACAGTATCATAACTTTTACCTACAAACAAGGAAACACTAGCATCACAGGCCATAAGTAATGAGTGGTACTATACACATTTTTATTTGATACATTTCCAATATGACATACTTTTCCTGATTGTCTAAGGTGGCCCCCTCCACCATGTGTATATATTGTGCTTTTTCTTTGGAGACGGGGTGGGGGGGTGGGGGGAGTATCTCACTGTGTAGTCGAGGCTGGCCTTGAACTGACAGAGATACTCTTTCCTCCACCTCCCTAGTGCTGGGGTAAAAGGTGTGTACCACTCTATCCAGCTTGTTCAATTTTTTTCTTTGAATTATTTTCTTTTTCCTACTTTTCATAATCTGAGATTATCTTGTGTATATAGATATAATAATGTAAGCACAGACTGTAGATAGCTCAGCAATAAGAGTTCTTTTCTAGGCCCTGAGTTCAATCCTAGTGCTGCTGGGAAAAGCAATAACATAGTACATGATAAATACATGCATATGAGTGCCCGCTTATTACTTTCCTCCCCCTGGAATGCTGGCTTCTCTAGGACAAGAACTTTATTTCCAGTTCATTCTCACTGGTCAATGGTTTTTTAGAGTACATAATGATCCAGTCAACCGTTTAGAACAGAGATGGTGAGGGCTTACACATCAAGAATTTGACTCTCAAAATGATTGAACTACAAATGATGATTTGGTTGTAACTTTGCTTTAGCTCAGTTCAGTGAGTTCCTAGTAAAGCCCAGAATAACAGTTCGGTGTTTATTTGCTTGGAGGGATAGAGATTTTAAAAAATAAAATTTAAAGTTATATTTTCCAATATTCCACATCTCTGAATTAGTTATTTCTCCATTTGTAATTCATCCTTCAGTGTCTTTTGCTGGCACAGACACAGAAGGAATGAGAGAGCTGGCCAGGGGAGAGCTGGCCAGGCCAGTCTTCCAGGATTCTGTATACTGGTGTGGGTTATAAATTCCATCAATGGAGGGTATGGCAAACTCACAGGCTAAGTCTTCTCAGTTGAAACTGCAGTCAGAATTAGGCACCTGGTAGGGCTGGGGAGATGGTGCAGTGGATAAAGTACATGCAATGCAAGCAGGGGGCCTGATTTCAGATCGCAGCCACCCACATAAAAGCTGGACACGATGGCAAACATCAGGGAGGTAGAGACCAGCAGATCCCTAGGGTGTGTTGACCATCCAGCCTACCTCAATCCCTGAGTTCCAGGTTTAGCCAGAGACTCTGTCTCAAACAATCAGGTGAAAAGCAAGGAAGATCCCTGATGTTGATTCCCCCTGCTTATACACACACATGTGCATGTACACCCCCACATATGAACATGTACACACAAAAGAGATTTGAAAGGAGAGGGGCAGTGTGGCTGTGTGGGGAGGAAATCCTGACAGGCTCTGGAACACTTGGAGGAATGACCACCGCTGTGCATGAAGGAAGCACAGATTCTGTGACGTACAGAAACCTGAAATATAGGTGGAGATGTGGCCCAGACCAGCCACAAAAGGGCTTACCGTGGACCCTCTTATACCTGGTGGGAAAGTCTAATGGGGTTTAAACAGAGGAAGGGACATGGTCAGAATGTTAGGGCGTGTTCATGATTCTGTGGGTTTATTATGATTTAGGATCCATCTGTAATTCCTCATCCTCTTTTAGAGTTGCATGTTGGGACAAATAAGGAATAGCTTAGAAAAAGTTGTCATCATGAAAATGTGCCTCAAGTGTGCAGATTACTGTGACCTCATGAGTAAGGGACTCTCTCTAGACAGAGTGTGCAAGAAAGATGCCTTCTCTCCATCTCACCTTTGTGTTTTTCTGTCTTTTTTCCCTCCCCTTTCCCATTTTAGAACAACAAGGTGACACTATTCCGCCAGCTGCAGCAAATGACATACAGTCTGATCGAGTGGCGCTCCCAGATCCTATCTGGGACACTCCCCAAGGACGAACTTGCAGAGCTAAAGAAGAAGGTCACAGCCAAAATTGATCATGGGAACAGGTAACCCAGGACCATCTGACACTGAGGATGTAGGACTGACTGGCACCTTCATACTAGATAGTACTCACAGAAACTTAAAAAATCCTTTAAATGGTTTCAAATGGAGGGTTGAGGAGGTAGACCAGTTGGTGGAGTGTTTGCTGAACTTGCATGAAGCCCAACACTGTGTAAACTGGTTTGGGAGCTCTGGTCCCAGGACTCAACAGATGGAGGTAGAAGGATCAGAAGTTCTGATTAAGGATGCATGATTTTATAGTAAGTTCAAGGCCAGGTTGGTTGGTTATATGAGACCCTGTCTAAAAGTCAAGACAGAAAATAAATAAAGTACTTATACATTATACATAATTTACAGGGCACATGCATACAGTACTTATATGTAAGGATGATCAATGAGGTTAAATAGCATACCTATCACTTTGGCAATCAGCATTTCTTTGTGTTGGAAACATTTAAAATTAGCTTTATAGATATTTTGACGCATAAAGTTAATTTTTGCCAACCATACTGTGCAGCAGGAAATTAGAGATTATTCTCCGTATATAACTATGCTAGCTAACTACTCTTTCCCTATATTAGTGACTCTTGGAGAGTCTGAGAAAGTTCTTGTGTGTGACCAAATACTGGATAGAAGAAGCAGCTAAAGCGAGGAATGATTTACTTTGGCTAGTGGTTTCAGAGAATAGAGTATGTTGTAATGGGGAAGGCATTGCAGAGCAGTTCTGCCTATGCAATGGTGGCAGGATTCTATGGAGGGAGCTCCTTTACCAGCCCACAGGAAAGCAGAGTGTTCTAGACTAGAATCAGAGGCCCAAGTTTATCAGGTGAACACTACATCCCGAAGCTTTTGCAAGCTCTCAGAAACAGTGCTACCATCTGACAAGTGTTCAGCCCCATGACCATGCAGAGGACGTTTCCTGGTCTCCCCCAACCCCATGTCTCTGCAGCCCCCTAGTCTCATGACAAATGTTTGATGTTAGAGTTGACAAATAACAATGCTTACTACTTACTGTCTTTGTGTCTTAGAATACACAATTTCATTGAAAACTCGAAGTTCCCTTCTTGGGTCAGGTGCTGTGTTGGTCCTTTGATCTCATTGACTCAAGAATAGGGAAATTGAGTTTTCTGTCCAAACTTCTCCACTGGCAGAGAATACAGGAGTGATCAGGCACTTAGGGATGGTCTTTTCAGATGCCTGAGACCATGTTTTATATTCCAATGATGGATATTAAATTGATTGCTGTCAGACACCATTTTCTTTTTTCCCATCATTTCCTAACTGAGATTGGGCTCGTTATTGGCAATGGGGCAGTTCAGATTCCCTGGTATTGTAAGTCACCATCCTCCCAGCCCACAAAGGCAATGGGAAAGCATTGACTTGAGCACAGGGCCCTGGCTCTGGGTCTGACTCTCTTGCAATTGAGATGTGAATCCTCTCCCCTCACACTTGACCTCTATGATGGTTAATGTTGATGTCTTCTAGACAGAATATGGGATTCTCTAGGAGACAAACATCTGGGAGTGTCTGTGAGGGGGTTTCTAGATTAGGTTAAGTGAGAAGGGAACACTCACCTTGAATGGGAGCCAGTATCACTCTGTGGAGTCCAGGACTGAGGAAGACCTAGCTGCTAAGCACTATCATACACCTGGTTCTAAATGAAAATTTAATGTTATGGGCTATCTCAGGCCCTCTACTCTTCCATCTCTTGAGCTGTGAACCAGAGTAAGGTTTTCTTCCTTTAAGTTGCTTTTGTCAGGTTTTTTTTTTTTTTGACCTACCAGCAAGAAAAGTAAAGGATCTAGACTCCAGGTGACGGTAATTGTCGTAGGTACACAGCTTTTTATGCAGGGTCTTGGGACTTTTTGTAAAGCCAGCTGAGGTAGGACGAGGCTCTGTCCTTTCATGATCTTGACACTGTAACACTGTCCTGGAGATGCCCCAAGGCCTGACATAACATGCTAATGTCTTCTGCATGGCAAGAATGCCATAGCTGTCCTTGGAAGCAGCTCAGGAAACGGAGACTTTCTACCAGTACATCCATGACCCAGCTCTGCCAGCCTGCTGCCTCTCAAGTGTGGGTGGCCTGTGGGTCTGGCTGCTCTGGGAAGGAAGCTGCGAGTGCAGATCCTTCATCCAGAGCTACTGTAGAGCAGGGAGGAGGGAACTGAGGTGTGTTTGCTTTCTTCCCTAGGACTTGGTAGCTCTGCTTGTTATCTCTTGAGCCCTCTCTTTGCAGGTGCCTTGAATGTAGGCTGGGGACTGAGTGGATAATTTTGTTCCACCATTCTCTGACTTCTTGGAACTAAGCATAGTTCTTCCTACTTCTGTGCTCATTGGGCACAGAAGCCTTGGGAGAAGGGTGTGGTTGTCTCTCCTCTTGCCATGCAGCCCTCAGAACTTTCATTGCCAGTTTTCTTGTAGTCGGAGCGGATATTTGTTGGTGCTTACTGTATGTGAGGTTCTGTAGATACTTCACTGCATTATCTCAATCAAGTTAGGTAACTTTGAAGGGTAGGGAACATTTATACTTGAAGGGGTCCAAGAGAGCAGCTATTGAAGGTTAGGTTCAGACTATAGTGTGAATGACTGCAGAGCCAGCATAGAGATGGATTATGAGAGGATAGCCACCTCAGTAGCCTGATATAGCTGTCTCCTCAGAGGTCTGCAAGAGTCTGCCATATACAGAGATGGATGCTCACAGCTAATCATTGAACTGATCAAAGGGGTTCCCAACGGAAGAGTGAGAGAGAAGGCTGAAGGAGCCGAAAGGGTTTGCAGCCACATGAGGAGAGCAACAATACCAACCAACCAGAGCTCCCAGAATCTAAACCACCAGCCTGGGAGCACATAGGGAGGGACCCATGGCTCCAGCTGTATATGTAGGGGAAGATGGCCTTGTCGTGCATAGGTGGGAGAGGAGATCCTTGGTCCTATGAAGGCTGGACGCAGAGTGTGGGGGAATTCGAGGGTGGGGAGGTGGGTGTGGGGGGGATAGGTGGGGGCACATCCTCATAGAAGCAGGAGAAGGGGGAATGGGATAGGGGGTTCCTGGGGAGGGAGAAATGGGGTAAGGGGATAACATCTGAAGTGTAAATAAAATATCCAATAAAAAAAAAAGAAAGACAGTATTGAGTAAGGGTGCCAAGGCAGGCCTTTGACGGATGGTGCATGGCTCTGTGTTTATTGTCATGCCAGACCACAGGAGACGGGCAGGGAATCACTGCAAAGAGGGCTTTGGTTACAATCATTGCCAGTTTTCCTGTTCTTGTTTTGGGCCGATTCCTTGGCACATGCACGTAGGATTGGGTAGGTGGCCCACTAAGCTGTGCGGCATGAGGTAGAGATTGGAAGGAGCAAACTCCTGAGCTGTGCCCAGTCCCTGCCCTCTCTCCTGGATCCCCTGGGCTTTCTGATACAGGTTCATCTATAAAGAGTCTGACTGTGGAGGGGCGCACTACTTACCACCTCCTTTCTCTCCAGAATGCTTGGGCTAGATCTGGTCGTGCGGGATGACAACGGAAACATCTTAGATCCGGATGAGACCAGCACCATTGCCCTGTTCAGGGCCCATGAAGTTGCTTCTAAAAGGATAGAGGAAAAGATCCAAGAGGAAAAGGTATTGCTTCCTCCAGGATGCAGGTCAGGCTGCTGGTGCTAGGATTTTATTCTTTGCTTTAGTATTTAATGCCAAAAATGACTAATAGAGAATAGGAATAGCAATGCCGAGAAGAATCACATGTGACCTCATTTTAAAAGTGGGCAGAAAGAATGAGGCCAGTGTGTGTGTTCTGCTTTGGAAAGGGAACAAAGGAGAGTGTGTGTGCGTGTGCGTGTGTGTGTAGAAAGACTCAGAACTATTTGTGTAAAATAGTATTTGTATTTAAAATGCATGCAAAGGGGTATACACACTTCATTGCTTGTATATACACAGAGTAACTGGAATGGTTGATAATAAACTAGCCATTAAAAAATTTCTCTGGACCCGAGTTCAATTACCAGCACCCACATAATGCTTCCTAGCCAATCAAAACTCCAGTTCTAAGGGATCTGTGTCTTCCTTCCTCAGCAGGTACCTGGCATGCACGTGGTACATTGACATACATGCAGTCAAAACACTCAGACTCATGAATTAGATATAAAAGATAAAAACAAAGCTGCCTCTGGGAAAGAGAACTGGGTAAAAGGAAGGACTTTTTATATTATAATACTCTTTATTTTGTATAAATATTTTAATTTTCAAAATAGACTTTTTAAATAACATGTTTGGAAAGCTTGGAAAGTAAAGAAAACTTAGAAAGGTAAAGAAAATCAGAAAGAGAAAAAGAAAAAGGATCAGCCATCTTCTGATCACTCTGGCCATCATGTTGACATTTTGATCTATTTTCTGTTTGGATGCAGAAAGTTGTATCTCTGGTTTTTTTTTTTTTTTATTGCTTTTGCTTTCTGGGGCACAGTCATGACAATATGTGACAACCACACCCAAGGGTAAAGCTTTCTATGGAACCTTCGTTTCCTGTGAAGTTGGGTAATGGGTCAAGTGTTTGTGTTTTTAAGCTTCCTCCAGCCTCCCATCATAAGCCACGAAAGCTTCACAAGTCTGCTGAAAACTGAGTGATCACCCTTAGAGAGCATACGTTTGTTTTTCATGTGCATGTATATGGTTTGCGTGCATGTAGGTATGTCTGTTAGCATGTGTGTGGGCCCACATGAATATATATGTGCAAATGGATGTGGAAGCCAGATGTTGGCATTGGGTGTCTTCCTCTATCATGTTCCATTTACGTATTGAGACGGGGTCTCTCACTTGAGCCTGGAGCTTCCCAAGTCAACTAGTCTAGTTAGCCAGCTTGTTCCAAGATTCCATCTCTATATCTTGTACACTGGGATGACAGGAGGGCCACTGTGCCCACCAGGGATTTACATGACTGGTGGGATCTGAACTCTGGTCCGTATTCTTCCACAGCGAGCACTTTATATATCAAGACATATCTTTAGCCTCCTAGAAAGCATTTGTTGAATTATCTGGACTTAAGGCCCTGAACAGGACTACATGGGTACACTGATGATGGTGATGTGTTTGTTGAACTGAGGGATGATTGTTCCTCATCTTCTCAGTTCTCAGCAAGTCGTTCTCCTTGGTGGTGGTAGCTGTCCCTTATTTGTAGGTTGATTTCTTTGTGAACCTTCCCAACACCACTCCCCGTTTGCTCAAGTCTTCTCTCCTGTTCCCTGGCCCAGAGCATTTTGCAGAACCTGGACTTGAGAGGCCAGGCAATCTTCAGTACTGTCCACACTTATGGCCTCTATGTGAACTTCAAGAACTTTGTCTGTAACATCGGGGAGGATGCGGAGCTGTTCATCGCCCTGTATGACCCAGACCAGTCCACCTTCATCAGGTAATGGAGACCCTTGTCACCTGTGCTTGACCTTGCAAAGTACAGTCTTTAGCTGGCCCTCTCCAGGAGCCCTTCACTGGGTTTGAGATGGAGATGTAGCGGGTGGTATAATCGCTTCCAACAGTAGGAAATAAAGTCCCTTGGGCTCTGTAGGCTTTGTACATAGTCGCTGGCACCATGCAGCTTCAGATGACACATCGGTAGGGTTCTAAGAGTAGATAAAATAGCATGGTGGTGCACACCTTTAATCACAGCACTCAGGAAGCAGCGGCAGGCAGATCTCTCGAGTTCAAGGCCAGTCTGGTCTACCCAGTGAGTTCGAGGACAGCCAGGACTACACAGAGAAGCCCTGTCTCAACAAGCAAAGCAGCAAGAACAACAATAAAAGAGTGAATAAAACTGCTTAGGGCAGAGACAAGGATACCAAATTCAGAAGACAGTACAGGAAGAACGAGAGAGATGAAGTAGAACACGGTGGGGATTACTGGCCCTGAGACTGAGCTATAGGACACTGCATTGGTGACTGCCATGGAGTACATGGAGTGCACTATACCCGATGTAAACCCTCACGGCAGCTGTAGGATGTGGGGAGGATGATGATGATGATGATGATAATTATGTAGCACCCTTGCAGATCCAGCAGTGACAGATGGGTAGTTAAGGGCTGTGTGCTTGAGAATTCTGCTGGCAGTTCAACTCTGACCCAGGGACCACAAAACTACTTAGGAAAAAAAGATTACATAAAGTTTCAAGACTTAGAGGAAGGGTCAGAGCATCATTGAGCCCCAGCATGACTCTTTCCAGAGCAACTTAGGAAATGGAGGTTTATCTTCAAGAAGGGAGTAAAAGGTAATTACTAGTGTAGCTTATCTGGTAGCATGCTTGCCCAGCCTACACAAAGCTTCAGCAGTGCACACACCAGATGGGTGGTACATGACTGTTGCCCCAGCACCAGAAAGATGGAAGGAGAAGGATCAGCTACAGTCTGAGGCCAGCCTGGGCAACATAAGACCCTTTCTGAAAAAGTCAAAAGTAGTTACTAAGTTATTTGTGTGGTGTGGTCCGTGGAGGATGGATTAAGAATGACTTACCAAACTAAGCTTTTGTAAATGTGGCCTCTTGACACATGGTTTCACTATCTCAGGCTATGTAGCCCAAGCTGGCTTTAAATAATGTCGATCAGCCTTCAGAGTGCTAAGATCACAGTCCAGAGCCTCCATGCCTAACTCTAAAATTAAACTCTCACTTCAGCAAAGCCAAAGCTTGTATACAAGAAATTTGAGAAAGGAGGAATACCACAGACAAAAGAGTCGTATAAAATCTCATATCTGGGCCACCGTGAGCAGTGCCTGCCACTGTATAGGGTGTTCTCCATATCAGGGACTCTTTCAAAGACAGAATCACCACAAGTATGGTGTATGTGCTTCTCCAGCACCTGCCTTGCCACGGGGCACATCTGTCTCATCTTTTGACCCTTGCAAGTCTGTCTGTGAGCAGCCCCTGTCCCAGATGGCCTCTGAGTAAGAGTGATTTCCTTTTTTTTTTTTTCCTGCTAGTGAGAACTACCTAATTCGCTGGGGCAGTAATGGGATGCCCAAGGAGATAGAGAAGCTGAATAACCTCCAAGCCGTGTTCACCGTGAGTCCTGCCTTCTTCACAAGAAGTTTTTGCATTCGTTTATTTTCTATGTCTCTATGAGTATGAATGTGTTGCTGTGGTATAAGCGTGTGGAGGTCAGAAGCCAATTTGCAGAAGTAGATTCTTTCTTCCACTCGGTAGGACCCTGGGATAGAACTCAGGTTCTTAGTCTTGGCAGCAAGTGTCTTTATCCGTGGAGTCATCTAAGTAGCCCAGCCTCACTTTCTGTTTCAGCGTTTTCTTACAATGGATACAGTGATAAATATAGGGAAAGCATAAAAGTAAAAAAGCTAGCCGTCGCTGTTCTCTGAGTAGGTGTAGCTCAGTCATTTATTCACTTAGTGAACACACAGTAGGTACCATGTACTGATGTGTACACAACCATTTGTGAATGAAACAAGGAAAGAAACTGTTCTTGAGTAGCATTTGTGCTGGTGGAAAAGACAATATAAACAGTAATGACACAAGCAAGCGAGTATGAACAACATCAGCAGTCCTGAAGTGCTTCCAGGGGCCTTGCCAGAGTATTGTGCAGGGGGACTTGTGCTTTAATTGTATATTTATTTATTTAATTTTTGTTCTCAATTTCATTACAGCTGTTTACTGATTTTATTATAATGAAAATAGTTTCCTCCTCTTATTCTCTTCTTTATTTTATTTTTGAGGTCAATGTAATTAGATTATTTTCCCCTTTTCTTTGCTCCCTGCAGGCCCTCCCATATACCTCTCTTTGCTCTCTGTAAAATTCATGACCTCTTTTTCCCCCTTAATTGTTGCTATATGCATGTATGTATATTTAACTTTTTGTATGTATGTGTGTGTATGATGTGTATTTGTTCCTGTGGTAACCCAGGTGTCATAGCTCATGTGCAGAGGTTAGAGGGTAGCCTCGGGTGTTTTCTCACTGTCCTCGCCTTGTTTTAAGACCAAGGTGTCTTTGCTGTTTGTCATTGCATATACAAAGCTATTCTGAAGAGTCTCCCATCTTATCTAGGAACATGAGGGTTGCAGGTGTGTGCTGTAGTACCCAGCTTTACATGAGTTCTGAGGATCTAGACTCAGTTTCTCATGCTTACATGGCATATGTACACTGAGCCATTGCCCCAGTCTTGAAGTCGGTGTTTTAGATAGATTGATTGAGTACTAGGAGTGGAGACCTGTGGTATAGGCACACCCTTAGCAAGCACTGAGCCGTGGGGTTAGTGCCCAGCGCTGGCTCCAAAATACATAAAAGATATTTGAGGAAAACAGAGAAATTGAAGAGCATCAGCCGTGCAGATTCCTAACTGGAAGAAGAGTCTGCCGGATGCTGCAGTGTGCAGCTCAGGAACATGGCAGTGTCTGAGGCTGTAGTTTGGATGTGCAGCTGTCTTCCTCATAGGTTGAACTTTCTGAGCTCCTCCCAGTTTTCTTTTTAAGGACACCCCCTGGGGCCTCCAGGGGCCCTGGGAAACCTTGATGTGTAGGTTCCTAGCTCCACTAGGGAGAGTGAGCTTCATCTTCCCTCAGCCCACACAAGTGTTTCGTCTCCTGCTCTTACCGAGCCCAAGTTCTAGTGACACCTAACTACTTGTCTCTGTCCCCTCTGTCAGCCTCCTAGCTCCAGGACACACACAGGCTTCTCTGTCTCTACACAGATCGGTTCCTATCTCTACCCCTGCAAATGCAGGCATTGAACTTTCTGAGATGTCACCCCAGACTTTAGTATTTGTTCAGTTTTGAAACAAAGTGGAGATCTCTCTGCAAGAATGGTATTCGTCAGACCATGTGAATGGTCCTTAAAGGCACTGTTAAATCTTTGGTCTATCATTTTAATCAGTCTTAACTTGCTGCAGCTGCAATTGCTCTTGCCTTTCCTCCTCCCCCACCCCCACCCCCGACACCCTCTCTCCCAGCTAGCCAGAGGGTCATCCAGTATGTAAATTTCATGTCTAGCCTTTGCAATTAAATAAAATGTGGTGGCCATTTCCTTGGTCATTAAACAGTCTTCAGAACTCATTTATAAATGACTGTGTATTATTTAATGATATCAATATGCTTCTAGAACCTGCCATCCAGTGACTTTGTTTTCTATTAATGGAAGGTTTGCAGAACCTCAAGCAGGGATTCAGAGCAGGTGATTACTGGTGTATATTGCATCTCAATGATGTGTCTCTACCAAGTTACAGGGCGTAGATTTGAAGTGATTATTTGAAAAGTAATTCTTGATTCAGTAAGAAGGCTGGGGCTGCTGTTTAATTTTAAAGGGTTCTGAGATATAATGAAATTACTTTTGATGTTAACTGAATGAGATACATGAGCTCATTTCTGGGTCACCTGCCCCTTCTTAAGAACACATACACAGGAGCCTCGGCTACAAATAGGAACAGTTACAACCCACCCCCACCCCCACCCCCACCTCTTGCTGTTCAGTGTTCATGAAAGGGCCTCTCAGGAGGCGTGTGAAGAACCTCACAAAACCATGCCTGGGTTACACTTGACTCTGGGGTTGTTTAGAAGATGAACTGAGGGTGAACAGTGGGGGATGGTAGATACCTGTAATCCCAGCACTAAAGAGGTGAAGGCAGCAAGATCTGGAGTTCAAGGTCAACTTCAGTTATATAACAAGATCAAGGTCAGCCTGGGCCCTTCCAGGCTTCTGTGGATGCCCAGTGAACATCAGCATCATGCAAGCTTCTTTGTCATTTGACACTGAGATGTCTCTTGTACTAAGACTTGAAATAAAAGGACCCCAAACATCAGAGAGCATCTTGGTTAACAACCCCTTGCCCACCTCCCTACCTCTCTACCTAGAGGTGTTAGACTGAGTCTGATCTAGTCTTGAAATGCGAAATAGGAACCAGGGAAGAAAAGAAGACCAGTCTATGGGTAAATAGAAAATGATTTTCTCTGTTCTCTGTAGTTCTTAGATGGGCATAAAGAGAGACATCGTTGTGGTGGGTTGGCATGGGGTAGTGTGCTCCAGGCAGAGCAGGGCAGCCGGCCTCTCATGTCCTTTCTACTTGCAGGATCTCAGCAGTACAGACCTCATCCGGCCACGCATCAGCCTCGTGTGCCAGATTGTACGGGTGGGCCGCATGGAGCTGAAGGAGGGCAAAAAGCACACCTGTGGGCTCCGGAGGCCCTTTGGAGTAGCAGGTACAATGAAAGCCCAGAGTCCAAGGAATATGCTATAGCTTCTGGGGACCCCCTTCTCGGCAATTTCTAAAAGACCCAAATGTAAACCCATCATCTGATCTCATAGTCAACAAAAATCCCATTTTAGGCATAGTTTCAAAAGAACTGAAATGCAAGGGCTTAAAGGAACACCACCTTCACAGTGGAATTATTCACAAGAGCCGAAGGGAATATCTTGCTCAAGTGTGCATCAGTAGATGAATGGATAAATAAATGTGGTCTAGACACTGAAAGGAGGTTTCAGTCTGCCTTAATAGGGCAGGAATTTCTGACTCATGCCACAGTGTTGCTGAATGTTGAGAACACTGAACTAAGTAGAATAAACCATACACAAAAAAACAACCGCTGCGGGATTCATTTCCACGAGGTGCTTAGAAGAGTCAGGTTCAGAGGCCATTGAATGGGATTAGCAGGGTTTGAAGAGACAGGGGAATTGCTTTTTGAGGATAGGATTCCCTTTGAGAAAATGAAAGTGTTCTAGTGGTGAATGACAGTGATGGCTACATACGGTGGGTGTACTCACTTACTTAGCACTTAAAGGTGGATAAGATGGCAGTTTCTATGTAACGTATATTTTACCACACTTACAGCAATGAAAAGAGATAGAGAAAAGAAGGTGGTAGATGGCTGGCTGGAGGCAGACAGAGATAGCAGGACGGCCCCTAAAGATTGGAAGCAATGGCTCATGTTGTCGTGGTTAGTCTTGGGCACACAACGTTCATGCCCCAGGACGGCCAGTTCTCTTTCTTTGAGTCTTGCGTCTTCATGTAGCCTCTGATCGTGTTTCCCCTTTGTGCCCAGCACCACAGTTCACACATAGTAGGTCTGCTTGCCAGCAGATGCTCTGCTTATACACTCTGATTCACTTCAAAGTGTTTTCCATGCTTAGGAGACTTGCTTCTCAAAGGTGACTTTATGTCACTAAGAGCCTTCCAAGAGGGTCTGTAGCTTCAGTCAGTCCTCAGGATGTCCCAAGAAGTCCTCTATCTTTGTAGTCTCTTAAATTTCAAGAACAGGTATTTGGTCTTTTATTAGGATTTGGATCAGTAGTGCTTTTTGAAAGTCATCAATGAAATGTCAAAAATTCGCTCCTGGGACCAGGGCCAGACACTCTGTGTTCTTCAGTCAACCCTGGGGCTTCTGTGAATAAAGAGGTGCCCTTTCCATCCCGTATGACTGTGTACATGTCTTTTGGACTGTGCCCGCCATACCTGATGCTCGAGGAGTGTCGAGGGAAGCAGCATTGCTTTTTATTGACTTTATGAGACACAGTTTCATTCTGTAGCCCAGGCTGGCTTGGGACTTACAGAGATGCTCCTGTCTCAGCTTTTCAAGTACTGAGCTTATGGGTAAGTGCTATTCCCCCTTGTTCAGCATTGCTACTTTATCAAGTATTCAAGTGGAGTCTCTTAAAGATACAAGGAACCCAGCCAGGTCTATTTAGCCATCCACACGGCAATGCAGATATATTTATTTGTCTATAAAATAGGATGTAATAGAGGTCACTGCTATTCATAACAGGCCAAGAAACTAACACTTAAACTTGAGGCTTTTCTGTATTAGTATGTGTATGTGTATGCACGGGAGTGGTGTGTATATCTGGGTACTGAATGCAGAGAAGATGAATTCGTTCTTAATCCTGATAGTGATCATTAACCAAAGTTACATGATGACACTGACAAACAGGTTTCTCTACGTTTTTTTGGCACAGTTTTTGTAAGGTCCTGTTAGGGGTAACAGCAAGCTGCGTGTGATGCCCAACTGTGCGCCCCTTCCCAGGCAGCACCAGCACTCTTCCCTGGCCTGGTGGGCTGTGTTGTCTAGTTCTTTCAAACATTACTGTGTTTCTGAGTACTTACCTCTCTTGTCTACAGACAAACTATCTGGGTGATGGAGAAATGGATTGCTAATGTGTTTTACGGCCAGACTGTAATTCATTAACCACAGTTTCAACTCTTACCAGGGCCTTGTCTCATGTCAGCCAGCTGCTTTGCAGCTTGCTTATTAATCCTCTACATAGCTGGGCATAATGGTTATGTGATTTACAGTGCTCATTGTTAATTCATACCCTGGCTTTGCTAAAAACTGAAAACTAATTGTGTGGCTGTGGGCTTGGTGGTCCCTTGCTTTCCTGGCATGGCATAGGTAAGTCCCACCCCTGCAAAACAAAAACAGAGCAAATAAACACAGGCAACAACAACAACAAAAAAAACCTTGTGACTAAGAGTAAGCTAACCCTTCCCATTCCTTAAGGTGGGGCTCCTCACAGCTGTGTAAATGAGAAAATGAAGGCTTATGGCCTGGCTTTACTGAAGTACTCTCCTGGGCTGTGGCTCTGTTGGGGGCCAATTGCTGATAGTCTGTTCTCTGATACTCTTAAGGCTGGCATAGAAACCAAGAGTACATCAAACCAATGACACAGATGGCCACTTCAAATCTTGAGTTTCTCTCCAAACCTTTAATTCTTCTGACTGACCTGCTAGAAATATACATTCTCTATGTCTTTCAGTAAAGGCTTATCAAAATAATAATAATAATAATAATAATAATAATAATAATAATGGTATCTAAGTTTTCTAGGAACATAGCAACTGAGTCTTGCAGAGTTTTGAAGGTGTGTCCTACAGGGTTGGATCTAGAAAATCTGAGTCTTTCATGGCTTCTTGCCCTGCTGGGTGTGGTATTGTTGTTGCTTGGTCCCCAGTCCCTTTCTTCTTGTGGTGTTCTGTGTTTGCTGATATCATCCTCTTCAATACAGCTCAGGAAGGCATGATGCCACGACCCCATTAGTGTCTCTAATAACAATTGTCTCTCTCCTAGTGATGGATATTAGTGACATCGTGCACGGGAAGGTGGATGATGAAGAAAAGCAGCATTTTATTCCCTTTCAGCAGTAAGTATCTGGCACTCATCCCGGTGACTTGAGGTACAGCTTAGCCATTCAAGTGGGGCATGACTGGAGAAGCAGGATGGAGGACCCCTTTCTGTTGCTGGAAATGTAAAGGTAGTTTCTGCTGAAAGACTGTGACCTGGGCCCCTCTGCAGAAGACTTAATTCAGGGGCTTCATGTTAGATTCAAAGAGGGTAAACTGAGCATTTTCTGACTCAGTAGAAGTAACTGGAGGAATATAACATTTTATACACACACACACACACACACACACATCTCATAAATATAACATCCATCTGCACCAAAATCCAGGGAATGACATCATCTGATTGTCAGAGATGCTGCAGTGTATCTGTCTTCTGTTGTGTTGAACAGGTTTGACTAAGAATCACATGACTTCTCAGACTGGATGATGCACATGAATTGTCAGGGCAATCTTGTTAGAATCAGCATTTGCTCTAGTAGGTCTGAGTGCATCTGACAAGCTTCTGAGTATTGCTAATGGTGCTGGTCCAGGGACCGCACTCATAGTAACGAGGGGTTAGGCAAGAAGAGTATACAAGGCTGTTTAGGTTTCCTGCTAGGAACTGGGGGAGCCAGTCTGGTAGTACAAGGCAGCTTGGAAGTTGACCCCAGGCTCTATGTGTCACGTGAGTGCCATCACACACACACACACACACACACACACACACACACACACACACACACCACAAAACACATTAAAATACATAAATGAAAATTTTAAGCTTTAAGTTTTAGATTCTCTGAAGAATGTAATTAACTGATTATATCTGTTTGTTTATTCAGGATCTCACCCCAGTTATTGTTGTCTCTTATTTTTCCACAATAAATGTACTATACATAATTATATTAAAAATGGAAGAATTTGTAAGCATTGTACCTTTGCACTATTTTAAGTTAATAGTACAGGAATATATGCCAAGTAGATTTTCTCTTTTCCTGAGGCTGCTACTAATTATTTTTAAAACATACACTTAATAGTCTTCCACTTCCTTACCAACTTCTCAAGAATGTGGAGAACTAAGCATTTCACATAGCTTGGTCCTGATAGTGGTTATCTGAAATCTATGGTATCGTGAAAGACTGTTCCTTACACGTATGCATACAGATGAATACACACACAGAATGTGTTGCTTGATGAGGGGACATAGACTGAGAAATTCATTCTTAGACAGTTTCTATCTTTGTGTCACATGACAGAGTATATGTTTATAATGAAAGGTCGCTACAGTGTCACTCGGTAACAATCTTATGAGACCACCCTCAAGTATGTAGCACCTCACAGGTGACTGAAATGCAGTATACTGCAGTGTGCATGTGTGTTATGTGACATATATAAATATCTTTAGACAAGTAGATTAGATTTAATTCATTACCAATGTATGGAATTATATTTATAAGTATTAAATCTAATATATTAAGCAGATAAAATACATTGAATAAATATATAAAATAGAGTTCAGCACAGTGGTGCATGCCTGTAATCCCAGTTACTTAGAAAGCTGAGGCAGGAGGATTATGAATGTGAAGCCAGCTTGTGAAGCATAGTGGAATGATTTCTTAAAAAATAAATAAATAAATATTTTGTATAGAGACAGACAGATATAATAATTATAAGTACATTCGTATCCATGAATGCTACCCCTTTTTCATACATACGTTCTGCATTTGTTGATAAAAAAAAACTATCTGAAAATTCCTTTATTTGAATTCCCCTTTATGATAGGCTTCTTCTTCAGTGTCATGCCTCTCTGTCCAACTTCTGAACCACCACTCATGAGGTGGCAGTGAACTCTGAGATGGTCCTGCTGCAAAATAGCATGTGCTTTCATTAAAGTCCCCAAGGATCCCAACCCTAGTTTGATTACCACTGTATAATAGTGTTTATGTTCCCCCTGGCAACCCCTGGCCCGTCCTCCTATTTCCCTAAGCTGTAGTGGCTTACGATGAACGGGGTTTATATGTGAGTTCTGCTAGTCCACCTGGGAAGAATCATTCACAGAAAACAGCCCCATTTCCAGCCTCACGTTCAGTATGTTTTATCATCAGGTAAAAGGATGTACACAAAGAAAGCTGCCTGGTAGGCAGAGAAGACTAAAGACTGTTGTGTAGCGACAGAAAGAGAATGTAGTTGTTCATGGCAACTTGAGAATGAGGACTGTGTTTGGTCCTTTGGCCTCTCCCTTTGTGGATCTTACCTGATATGCTAATTCAGCTGGATCTCATTTGCTGATTGGCCACTGCAATCCTAAATTTAAAGTCATTGAGGGGAATAGGATCCTGCAGAGTACTCTGTCAGGTGGAGCTAGTCCTGGGAGCCAGGTCTCCTGTCCTTTGGCTCTTCCTTCTGTCCCATCCAAGCATCCAAATCTAAATGCCTCTGACTTTAACTGCTTAACTTGTCCTTAGTCACTGACTTGAACTTCAGTGTTTTAATACTTGGCCATTGTTGCCCACCCCCACTTTCTTATTTGTCTTGTCGTTTCCTTGATATGTTTAAGGAGGGGAGGTAGAAAGATCATGAGAGCCAGAGGATCAGAGAGTTTGCTGTGAGACGCTGTCTCCTAGTAATAAAAAAGGAGCTGCACCCCGTAAAGCCGTGTCAGCTTGAGTATCCAAACATGTGCTCAACAAGGACACCAGTGGGCATGCCCAAGTGGACGAGCAAAAGCCTGTAAGGCCTCAACACTGTACAGAGAGCTAAAGGCAACTGAGAAAAACTGGGGCCAGAGAGGTGTTCGTCCCTAGGGAAGGCACATAGATTGCCCCTCCAGTTCCAAATGGTCAGCCTTGAAAACATCCAGGTAGCACTGTATGGACTGAACAGGATATTAATAGTTATGTGTGTATACATATATGCATGCAATAACAATTAGTGAAAAAAGAGGCCATGGGTTTGAAGGAGAGCAAGCAAGGAGGGGTATGCGGGAGGGTTTAGAGGGAGAACATGGAAGAGGAAATGTTGTAATTATAATCTCAACATATATGATATTCCTATATATATATGTGTGCATATGTATATGGATGTATATACAACCATATAGGTACATATATACATATATGCATATGTATGATCAGTGGAAGAATGAAGGTAAGAAAGTACCAGGGACAAAGTTACTGCAATTTACTTACTTGACCTTATTTCTTCTTCTGTTGCCCAATCCTAGGTTATAAGGATTGGGCAACATTGCATGCCATAAGCAGGATAAGTGTTCTAGTGAGCCAAGCAGAGGAGATTGGCTTATAGACAGAAGCAGAAAGCAAACTTGGGATTAGTCATTGCTCTTACGGCAGGGACAGAAGACAGAAGGTAGCTACCTGGTGGGCCAGCTTCAGGTCATTTCTGTAGGTAACCTTTTTTAGAGAATTTCATTGGCATACTTGCTGAAGTCAGCCTCTTTGGGGGTGGGTAAGCTGTTATTGCCTCATGCTGAGGTCTTAGAAGATAGATAATCTACCAAAACCTTGTTGCATTTGCATTATGGTGAGAGAGTCCATGTTGACTTTAGCTTGATCTGTTGGGGGACCATGCAGGAACATAATCCAAAACAGTGGTTTCCCATGAGCCCTCTGCTGAGGTTTTGTGTTTGTATTTCCAGATTGCTCCCATAAAACCTCTATATTCTCAAGTCACATTTTGGAGACTTTCTCTACTTCTGGCTTCCTCCTTACCTCTGCTGTCTTCCCCAGAATTGCCATGGAAACCTACATCCGCCAGAGACAGCTCATCATGTCACCCTTGATAACCTCCCATGTGATTGGAGAGAATGAGCCACTCACTTCGGTCCTAAATAAAGTCATAGCTGCAAAGGAAGTGAATCACAAAGGACAAGGTACACAGGCTGCCCTGGGTGAGGGGACTTTGGGTGGGGATAGAGGAGGGAACATGTAGAGTCCCTGCCCTTTCACCATCCACTCTGATACCAAACAGCCTCTCCTGGACACTGCCTTTCTCAGATATCTCTCTTTGAAGATATAATAGATTCACTTTTTCTAGTGGGATCAGGGTTGAATTTGTAACTTCCATGGAACAGACATTTTCCCCCATGAGATTGTTTTTCTGCCCTCTCTTCCCAGGACTAACTCCTTGAAGTAAATGTGCCAACAGAAAATGATTCAGGAGTGCATTTGCACTGTATCCTCAATAAACTGACCCCTTCTGCATGTTTCCAAAACTAGAGACGGAGAGATCCAAATACCTGTCAATATGAATATAGAATGTTCTACTCTAATGAAAAGTATACTCTTAAGCTAAAATTATATTATTCTTGCTGTATAAGCCGGAAGACTTGAGCTTAGACCCCAGCACCTCTATGAGTATGACTCACTGGTAGGCACGAAGGCTCATCTATACGTTCAGTGTTCAAAAGGGAGAGACAAGGGATTTCCAGATTAAGCTAGATTGATTAATGAAATAGTGAGACTCAAGCTACCTTGCAGAGCTTTTATACTTTCTCTGGAACCTGCATGTACCTGTCTTTTGATAGCTTCAGTAGTCACAGCGTTAATATTCAAGGGCCAAGATGGCGGCCAGACTTGAAAGGCCCTTTTGAACACTGGACATATAGATGAGCCTTCGTGCCTACCAATGAGTCATAGTCATATGAGTGCTGGGGTCTAAGCTCAAGCCCACCTCTTTTTCACTACCCTTTGACTGCTGTTTAAAATGGAAGCCAGCAGGAAAACAATTTTCAGGGTGTTTAGTTTCTCACGTGTTTGGTTATTCAGGTAGAAAAGGATGGGAACAATAAGGACTCTGAACACAAATAACGAGACAACCCCCCCCCATATACGTTTCTCTGTGTGTGCATGTTTATGTATGAATGGGCACTGGAGTAGGAGTATTCATGCGTAGGCTTGAGTCTCACTATTTCATTGATCAATCTAGCTTAATCTGGAAATCCCTTGTCTCTCCCTTTTGAACACTGAACGTATAGATGAGCCTTCGTGCCTACCAGTGAGTCATACTCATAGAGGTGCTGGGGTCTAAGCTCAAGTCTTCCGGCTTATGCAGCAAGAATAATATAATTTTAGCTTAAGAGTATACTTTTCATTAGAGTAGAACATTCTTATACTAATGAGATGACATTTTACATACGATTTCCTTTTTGGAACAGAATGGAAAACAGTGCCTTTCCTTTCTTGCTACCGAACAGAAAAAAGCCCCCTTCAGATGTATTTTTATTCTGGACAAATAATCCCTTCATTTATGTGGTTGTATAACATTTTAATGTTTAAAAGTGCTCAAGGCTAAATTTATAGCAAATTTAATTTAAATATTTTGATTGGATCTTATTTCTCTTTGAGCAAAACTTGTTTCTGTAAAGTAGGATTAGTTTTCTAACAGGTGGAGCAGGAAAGCTTGGGTTTATAGACAGAGAAGGAAAAAGAAGGATGGGCAGGAAGTGGGGAGAGAGGGAGGAAAGGAGGAAGGAAGGTAGGAAGGAAAAGGTAAAAAGCCGTTGGTTTGAAGCAGTAAAAAAGCCAATCCTATTATTTCTCATGTCAGGACTGAGACAAAGCGAGCAGCATCCTGTGGCTTGTGGGAGCCTTTGTAGGACATCTGGCCATTAATCTTTCTTTCCTGATATCTCACAAGGCCAGATAACAACTTAGTTTCCTTTTAAAGCTATAGAACTTGACCAGAGTGACTCCATTTTGACATCTAGCCTGATGAGGAGGGTGTGGGGTCCGGTTCCTTGGGTACGTACCTAAGTATTTTCTAACTGCTTAGTACTATGAATTTAAGCCACCCTGCTGTGACTCTTTCTGTATTGAAGCTTTCTCTGTGTTTAGGACTACTGCTTAGGAACTCCCAGGAGTAAGACTTCTGGGTCAGTGGTGGGAACAAGCTTTAACCCAGGTATATGGTGCTGTGCTGCCTGTTCTGGGCACAAAGTGTTCATCCTGTGTGTTCTCCCCTGTGTGAAAGGTGACAAGTAGACAGTCATGTATTTAAAAAACCACCTTGAGTCTGTATTGTCTAAGAGATATATGAATGTCCTGGTTTGTCTCAGATTTTTTTTTAAGAAGATAATTGTAATAAGAAATTATGTATTCTAGCTAGCCCATGTAAAAGACACACAATCCTTATATTTTTATTTACAAGCTATAAGCCTAGAATGGACAGGTTTGAAGCTATTCTAACTTAGATCCCAGCCATATGCCCCTTGTTACTTGCTCTTTCTCCTGGCTACATGTTCATGGTCCGTCTTCTCTCATGGCGGCCTCTTCCTATCCTGGTCTCCCCTGTCCTTCCCCTCCTAGTCACTCCTGAGACTCCTCACTGATCTTCAAGTCCCACCTTTCTCTCTGTACTGTCCAATGACAGGCTTTAGCCTTTTATTGACCAGTTGACTTGGGGAGCAAGCTTTGCACAACAGAAGCTGGTGTACATGAGAATTCACTCTTCTTAGGGCCACCAGATCTTGGGGGCCAGTATTTAGCATTTGAGTGCGTAGCAGCACCAGACCAAACCCAAGAGATAATTATTCTTCTGTTTTCTAAAATACATTTTTTCTAGTTTTTGTTTTGTAAACTGTCCATGAACTTTTCTTTCATCTATGAGGTGACTAATCCAGGGTTTGGAGAGATAGCTCAGCAATTAAGAGCACTTTCTGTTCCTGCAGAGGACTTGACTTTAGTTCACTCATACGGTAATTCACACCGTCTGTAACTCCAGTGCCTGGAGAGCTCATGATCTCTCCGACCTCCTGGGTACCAGGCATCATGTAGTACACAGACCTACAGGATGCAAGCAAACCACTCATACACCTAAAGGAAAAATAAGTAAATCCTGTAATTTTCAGATTTTTCCTTTTTTCCCTTTCAATATTCTTTTACCCTATTCATTTCTTTATTAGTAATTTGTCTTAATTAAAATATAAGATATTACATTGCTTCTGTTTTAAGTACCAAGAAAAGTACTTTTTGGAATTAGTTTTTTAAAGATACGCATTTTTATTTATGTATATGTTTGTGTGTTTGAGTATCTGCCACATGTGTAAATGCCCACAGAGAGCAGAAGAGAGGTGCCGATTCCTTGCAGGTTACAAACAATTGTGAGCTGCCTAACACTAGGATTCAAACTTAGGCCCTCTGGAGGAGCAGCAAGAGGTCGTAATCATGCCCCGCCCTGCCATCTGTGATTAAATCACCATGTTCTGTGTGTGTATAATCCCACAGTTTCACATAATCTGATACTTAGAACAAACATACTTTGGTATCAATTGGGATAATCTTTACTCTTTTTGTTCTCCATTGAAGTCAATTGTGAGTTTGAAGGAAGCATCACTGAAATTTACCCAAGGAGGATCGTGCGGTGTCTAGTTGGTTTCACACAAGCTTTTATGAGTGTGTTGCAAAGATCATACAGAGAACTGGAAGCTTGTCTCTTTTTCCCCCCTTACAGGTCTTTGGGTATCCTTAAAGTTACTGCCAGGTGACCTCACACAGGTTCAGAAGAACTTTTCACACCTGGTGGACAGATCAACAGCAATCGCTCGGAAAATGGGCTTTCCAGAAATAATCCTGCCAGGTACACACTTTGCTCTAGTTTCATTTTGTGTTTCTTTTCCATGTTGGAAGAAAGGATTACCTCTACTCGGACAGTTGAGGCAATAGTGGTCCCTAAGAGGACGTCATTTAGGGCTAATGGCATCAAAAAACTGGTGACAGATTTGCATTATCCTCAAAAACTGCTCAGTAGTCAGAACCAAGAAAATCCCACTAAGCATCTCTAGACTGTAAAGTAGGCAGGACCAAGAATACCCCACTAAGCATCTCAGCATTCTCAGTTCACTCTTTCCCATCCTGATCTGCAGATGTTTGCCCCACCTTAACTTCTTTCTCAGGAAACAACCCAGTGGCCCAGTGTCTTCAATCCAGGAGACTAAACTACTTTATTGCGCCTTTCTCCTCGTGTCTACGTTGGGTCCCTGTGCTCAGCTCCATTTCTGTGAGATCCTCTGTTTCAGTCCCCTGAGCTCTGACTGTTTGTTGCTCGTCCCATTCCCCATGGTCCCCATTCTTGTCCAGTTCTCTCATCTTTCTTGCCACATGTTGGTGACCAGCAGTCACATTCCCAAGTTCACCAGTGTCTCCCATTTAATTCTCTAATATCTGCAGGAGACAAAGGGAATCATACTCTGAGGAAGTTGATGAATATTCATATGAACTAATTGATGAGACAGTTGTGGACAGCTGGTCACATCACATTTGAAAACTCTAGAAAACCAACTGCACGATAGTAGATTTTTTTTTCAGAGTAATTGGGATCTTTTCTTCTCTTCGGGAAGTTAAGGGGCAGTGGTAGTTTTCTCCACACATATTACCTGAGAATGAAGGTGTTCTAATGAATACTCGGAATAGCTGTTGTGTCTTCCCAAGAGAGTAGCTTCATCTATCACAAAGCTCTTTTCACTGACTGCAGACACACCAGGTTTGCGAGAAATTGTCTTTTGTCCCCGTCTTTAGCACCAAGATTCCTTTAGACTTTAACCCATCAAGACATCTACTTCTTCCATTAAGACTCCTGCCTTCTCTTACACCCCCAGTAGCTCACTCTCTTCTTTCCTTTTAACCAGTTACCTCTTTCTCAGTGTTCACAGTACAGCTGCCTGTGAGTATATTGTTGGTGTTCCTGGGTTGGGTCTCTTCAGGAACTGTGCCCATATCCAGCTAGTTTCATGAACAAGAAATCCGAAAGACACTATTAAAATTGTGCTGGATAACCTAGCAATATCTAATATATGCTTATTGTTAGACACATATCCTAAATGGAACAAAGAATTATTACTGAAAAGAATTGGATCTCTGAGGTGGCTTAGTAAATTAAAAACTCTTACTATACAACCTGGATGATCTGTAGAACCCACATAAAAAAGCCAGGTCCCATGGCTCATAGCTGCAATCCCAGCACTCCTGCAGCAAGATGAGAGACAGGAGAATCACTTGGGAGGATGTGAATGCCAGGCAGCAGTAGAAATAGCAAGAGAGACACTGCCTCAAAAACAGGTGGAAGGGGAAAACTGACTCCAAAGAAGTTATCCTCTGACCCTCACACTCATGCTATGACATGTACATGTATGTGTGTACACACTAATAAAAAAAGGTCATGTTTACATAATGTGCACATCAGAGACACCTTGATATGTAGTGAGAGGTGGCCTGAGAGAGCAATCAAAAGACTTCTGTGGAATAGGCAGGCCATTACTAGCAGATCATTGCATTGTTGGATTATCTCTTGTATGTTATATCATAACTTTGAAATGAGTTTCCCTCAGGAGCACTCACAGGAGGCTTGCTGTATTATAGGGGATGTTCGAAATGATATTTATGTCACCCTAATCCATGGGGAGTTTGACAAGGGGAAGAAGAAGACACCTAAGAACGTGGAGGTGACCATGTCTGTGTTTGATGAGGAAGGCAACCTTTTAGAGGTACGTAGCACTCCCCCCGCCACACACACACACAAAATCTCATTGCATCACACCTGCTCTGTGGTAACAGCCGACTGCTGGTCCAGCTTCCTGTTAATATTCCTTATATCGGGGATTCTTCTTTTTTGGGGTTTTGTTCTTACTTTGATTAGTTTCTGTTTTTTAAGGAAGGGTCTCACTAGGTAGCTGAGGCTGCCTCAAACTTGTGATACCTCTGCCTCTTGGGTTCTGGAATCACAGGCATGCTCCAGCATGCTCAATACTTATGGAAAAAGAAATACATAAAACCTGATAAACTCGTGTTTTTCAGTGGCTATTTTTACTCCTAGAGCTATTTAGATACATTCTGATATTTCCTCTCTTCAGAGATATCACAGGCCACTTAAGCCTTAGGATCTTGGGCTCTGTGACATTTTCAAGTGGTATGGCTACTCTAAGCTTGAACACCATGGCACAGGTGTCCCAAATGCCTTGACAGGCACACCGCCATCACCTGGGCCAGTGGAGCCAATGGACACCTACCTGAAGGAGCGCTGATACTAAAGGCATCCTTGCTGTAGGTCAGCTAATGCTGATTTCCAATGTTAGTCATTAGGAACTTGTACCCAGAGTACAGCTCTTTTGTCTGGAATTGCAAATGTTAGAGCCAGAGGAGGATCCAGCTGTCCTGACTTCCAGTCTGGAGTTTCTCTGCCTTTGGCAGCTTTCTGGACATCTTGCTTTTGACCTAAAAGAGTTGAGAGGCACCAGGTGGCCACTGGAAGCCTCTGTCACCTCTACCTAATTGCTTTGGATGTACAAGTCAAAGTCTTGGCTCCTGAAGCTCTCTAGATGTCCTGGAGTGATGCTCTTCAAATGCTCAGTCCTTGTTGTCTTTAATTCAACCATATGTTTCTTTAAAAGCAGAAAACCGTACATATTCAGTAAAGACCCTGCAATTCATAGCATGCAGTACTTGGGGCTGAAGGTACCGAAGTGGCGTTTGTTGACATTATGTGGCATGACTGCTGTCTAGGTACAGCGTGCACCTGCTGCCACCGAGAAATCTCTCAGTACAGTGTAGATGGCTGCTGGTAGACTTCTCAGACCCACCATGCCTCTGGCTTTGAGTTAATTCTTGGATGCTGTACATTCAGAAACCTTTTTCTATTGCCATATTTTTTCATGACCTAGTATCATCTCCTAATCGTGTCTTTCTGATCAAAGAAAGCCATTCATCCTGGTGCTGGATACGAAGGCGTCTCGGAGTACAAGTCAGTGGTGTATTACCAAGTCAAGCAACCTTGTTGGTACGAGACAGTCAAGGTGAGAACTCTGTTTCTAACTCCTTCAGCTGTTGACCCTTGTTTAGATCCCTGTCTGCTTTATAAACCCCGATCAGTCTTATCATATCTGGAAGTTTCAGATCATCTACAGAAAGAAATGAGGATGGGCTGGGGTGGGGGTGGGTATAATCAAAATATATTGTGTGAGATTCTCAAAGAACTAATTTTTTCCATAGCTCAATCGGTAGTTAAGAGGTCTTTAGAACATCTATTTTATGAAGCCCAACATTCTGACAAAGTATTCTTATTCACAAATGTATAGAGACTGGAATAGAAAAACTTGTGGCTGGAATAAGGTGGTGGGCTGCCAGGATGCTACAGATAAGCTAAGATGTTCCCACTCCATCATCAGCTTCCCAGCTTGTTGTTCTTGTCGGCCCCTGCCCAAGCGTTCTAAGTGTTCTGGGCCTTTTTGGTGTAAGGAGGAGTTTCATGAATTGCAAAGTGCTTTCAGATCCTGTATCCCCTGTGGGCTCACAGTGGCTTTAAAAGTAAACAGGAAGGTATTGCTATGATCTCTTTCTGAAGAGGTAGCAGACCCTGGGAAGAGAAGTGACTCCTTAAATCTTGGAGCACCTTCGGGTCATCCTAAAACAGGTCACATCTGAATGCTGGGCTGCTGCAGCACCCACTGTCAGCATTGGCAGGGTCCTATGAGTTCTAACAGAAAATCCACAAATCGACACATCGTCTTCATATTTCAATTAGGTAGCAATTATTTTTCACATTCTTCTGTAGTCTGTGTTTTTTACAGTGCTATTCATGTGAATTTATATTGTACTTTTTTTTTTAAAGACAATTTCTCACTCTGTAAAAGTATGGCTATCTTAGAACTTGCCATAAAGTTCAGGCTTCCCTTGAACTCACAAAGACTCACCTGCCTCTGCCCCTCTGCCCCTCTGCCCCTCTGCCCCTCTGCCC